GTGGTAGTAAAAGTAAACGGCTTTCTGGAGTGTCTAATGAGAGGCCCGTCGTTTGGTAGTGCTGCATCTCCTCTTGGCACGGTGCAGCTCTCTTGTAATAAACACGTTGCCGCTTATTCTCCAAATGCTTCCAAAATGTCACACGCTATCGAAACGCACTTCTTCCAAATGTCGAGACTCGAGGCGCATTGGAGGGGATGCTGGTGGGGTTGAGAAGGGTCGCTCTACATGTAGCCACTTCTTGAGGTTCGAACGAGCCCTGACCCAAGTACCTACCCTCCACATTATTGCCCAGCTGCTTCGTGGAGGCAAGCAGGTAATTAAATTAATGCACGAGAAATAATCACACAACCATGGGGATAGATTTGAATGTTGTAATCTTCGAAGTTCTAAATGAGGTTTGACGTTGTGGGAAATTTCCCAGGATCTGGTCCTCGCAACCTGTTCTCTCCTAAGTACGCAGGTGGATAATCGCATTGCGAAATTATGCAAACGCTGCTTTGGAGCTAATAGCATGACAAACAGCTAAATGTTTAACCGCACCAAGATCCTTTTAAATAAATTTTCTTGCATTATGTCGGATTAGAGTCAGTATATTTTGCAACACGGAGTCCATCAAGCGAATGTAAAAGGTGAAATGTTCTCGGACTTGAGATGGTGGTTCTGAGGACCTATAAGCAGGTTGTGGAATGCGAATGTTAGTACAATCAAATTAGGGCTTGGGTTAGTTGTCACGCAGAGTTGCGATCTTCATTACTTAAAGAGAAATGTGTGAAAAAATGCGAAGCTGCCTGAAGTGCACCAATACAATGAAGTCTTCACTACGGAAATGACTCCCACACAGAAATCACATCAGTGCTTCAAATTTACTCTGCAGAATTGAGACACTTTCGTTGTGGGGCAGGAAATTTGACCAAAACGCATGAAGATGCATGGAAACATTATTAGTACTGGTGAGCATGTAATAAAAAGTGATTAACATGCCTGAAAATCTTTATTGGACATGCCAAGTACCTTTAAAGTGATCCCGAGAAAAATTGTGAGCTCCAATTCCGGTAGTTCAGTTTGAAAAAGGTTTCGATCGGTGACGGGTTCAGGTAAATATACGTTTGGGGAGTTGGGCCAGAGTTTTTGGCTTCAATCCGATGGCCTTAATCGTAATTGTTGCAGTCGTTTTCAGTTGATACCGAAGAGAGGCCTACGCGTGGTGGTCAAAGGGATAGTCAGGCATTTAGCGCAGTACGAAGACGCAAAAAGGGTTTTTGAACAATTATCAGACTCTAGACAATCAAGTCTCGCTAATCGATTCTTCAAGAATGCAGAAGACTTTGTGTGTGATAATTTAGGTCAAGTAGTCACAAAATCTTGTTGAGTTGTCACGGGCCATAGAGTTTTCACAGCTCACAGTGATTAGGAAGCTATTTGTAAAATAGCCTCGGTGTTTCTGCGCATCTTGTCACTACACTGCTGCTAATTCCGTGTGCCCAAACAGACAGGTGGATACTATTGAAGGTTCATGGCCTGGACTGGGAACCTACCACCTTGTAATTCGTGCCGCGGAACTCGTGAAGCCCCGTGACAAACCACAACAATATCTGAGTTGCATCAGCTCGCATTCATGTCTCTGGAAGGGTTTGACTGTTTTAGTAAAACTAGTAGCACGGGTCAATGTGAGTTTCAAAGCGAACAGTATTTACGAGGTGTCAAAGTGTTTGTTGAATAACTAATTGTCTGGGAGCCTTGTTTGGATTTGAATGCTTTAAATCGTGCAAAGATTTACTGGATATTGGCTTTACCATGATCGAGCCCTCCACCACCTGCATATTTTGAAAAATCGACAACCATTAGCAGCTATATCAAGATCCTGTGAAGCAAGAGTGGCCTGAGTGAGAAAAAAATTTGGGCCCAAAGTGAAAAAGAGGACTCGACTTGTCACACTGTGGTACAAAAAAACTTGTTGAACGTACTCTCACCAAGAGTTTCACACAACTGTCGCTTGAATCGCTGTTGCGGTAACTAAGCAAATGCCGCAGCCCTTGGTCCGACCCTTGACTATCTATAGAGAGGAAATTTGACTTATGGAATTACAAACTGTCAATTCCATAGGCATAGACTCTTAATTGGGCATTCATGAGCGTAGAACGTGTTGCTAACAGGGTACTCGAGCTAAGAGCACACATCTACTTCCTAGGTGTAACGTTTCAACTAGTAGTATTACCCCACCTTAGCGAATGACCTTCACGCTTGTAGCAATTTATCTAGCTACGAAACCACGCTTCGAATTGCGAACTCACCAGGTGCACCTAATCGTAGTACCCCTTTGGTGATTGTTGTTCGTATTCGCAAATTGCGACCACTGACTCAACAGTTTACAACCGCATTGTTGTGTTGGTGAGGTAGCGCGCAGGAATAGTTGCAGACACCGGAAGTTCGCACGTGACCAGTCGCTGATGTGAAGTGGCGAATTCATCAGCAGACAGCGGCTTCGTCAACAAATTAGGTCTGCAGAACCATGCTTCCCTTCTAAAGCGCCCTCCACACAGACGGCACACAAGCATGATTCCGATCAGGAGAGAAATTTGTTCGATAAGTGTAGTGTGAAATGGAAACACGATCGTTCGACCTATGGTTTTCCCAATCCGTTTCAAAAATAAACAAAACAACTTCCTCAACACCTAGATATCTATTTGTTTCAGACTAAGGCCGTTGATAGGGTCTGACGGAAAGTGCTATCGAGGGCGCTCCTAATGTTGGATGGTGTTTCGAATGTCCTTTTTGGTAATGTTAACATAGTCCAGTTTAAAGGCGACAGCGCTGTGCTTAGGGAAGTAGGGCCTTCTTTCAGAATAGGAATCCGGTTAATGACAGATGTTTCTATCGGCAATTTACCTTCCATATTCCTTAATCCAAAGCACGCTGGAATGACTTCATTCGTAACGTGGAGCAAGTCTTCATGCTCTGGTAAATTTGGCTGACAGAGTGTGACCGCGAGTCCCATGGCAGGATTTATCGAGTTGCTACGGCTGGTAAGTTCCTATTAAAAAAGCTGTGTGATGTGTCGATCGATATGGTTGTCTTGATGGCAGATGCAAATGATCAGACTGCCCTTTTGAGAGATTCTTCAATGTACTCGTACCTCTTAACTTGATTGCCAAGTAAGAGTTGTTCTTCTGGGATAGGGAACGTCACTCCGTTAATCAAAAACGACTACCCCATCTCGTGTTTACTAGTTTGAATTTCCTCCCTTTCAAGAAAAGTCAACGGATAAAGACCGAAATGGACTATGAGGTGAAGTGAAAAATCGTCACACTTACTTAGCATTATCAACCTTATTCGGTCTTGCCCTTTGACAATGCAAATCAGCATTTATTGTGTCTGTAAGTTAACCTTTGATGTAAAATGGAGTTCCCGCATAAAAAATGTCCCTCGAAAGCATAAACTGCAGCATTCTGAATGACATTTATCCATGACGTATATAGATCAAATTGTGTCCCCTTCATGGGGATTTAATCAGTAATTGAAAAAAAATTTCGCAAATTAAGAGCCCTAGTAAATGGGAAAAGGTTTCAAATGGGCAAGAGAAGAGAAGACTTATTGAGAATTATGGCTGATTCATTAGTGGCTTGGAAGTCCTGAAGCTTCCTACCGAGCTCAAAACCATCACTTGTGGGACCACGTCGGCGCCTGTCGTTTGTCTCCGCGTCAGACCTATTTCCTGCATGCGTGAAGCTCGACTTGCCAAGTTTAGTCGAAGAGCGCGTTCAAGAAAAGCATCTGAGTCCCTTTGAAGAGTACCACCCGAGTCACTTCCATGGACACGGAGGCTGTACGGAGACAATTCTCAGCCACACAAGGCTAGATAAAGTTTTGCGATGGCACCCTTACAGCCAGGATTGGTATTCCTTTTGTGCGTTTTTTAACCCTTTCCCTTCTTCAAGAACCTTACAAGCACGATGCATTAATTTGTGATTCTTGTTAACTTCACATAATAATGGCTCATTGTATCCTTGAGGGAACAATAAGTTTGAATAAAATATTCAAATTTTTCCGATTTCAGATCTTAAAAACAACCTTCATAGACTTAGATAATCGAGGTCGGATAATTTTCTCGGTATTTTCTAAGTTTATTGCATATTTTTGTGGCCATAAGAAGAATCCTATAAAGCGTAGCACAGAAGAAATTTGGCGGCATCAGAAAGGATAGGTTTTTTAGGGTTGAAGTTTGATCGGTTTAAATAATGTTCATTTGCTATCTTCACTTAAGTATACAGCAAGGCATTTTCAATGGACGGGCCTCTCTTAAGGATCATGTGATCAGACGGGTTACCACTTCAGTTGAAGCAAGTAATGTCAGGGGCCTAGACTGAATCATCGTCCATTGACTCTACCAAATACATGGCCTTTTGCCTTTACATCTTATAGCCTATCCACGTTGGTATTTAAAGAAATTATCATCAGATAGAGATTAGTAATTAGGGCAGAGGTTCTACTTACTGAGGGGACTGGCCAAATCAGAATTTTGAGCTGCTACACTAAAAAGATTGGCATTTCAAGTTAGGTGATGGATTGTACGAGTACCCAAAGCCTGTACGAGTACGAGCAATTTACCTCTTCTACTGGCAAGCCTCTACTTAACTGTGCAACACTTGCGTAGGCGGCATCAGATTCACAAACGAAATAGGTCAGAGGGGTGGACCAATCACAGCTCACCTATGCCCTGATTGGTGGTTTAGCCCGCCAAGCGCGTACGCGTCTCACGCACGAGCGCGTACATACACGTTTGATGAAATCGCTCAAATAAACGTGCCGTTGGGTCATGGCTGTCGCTGTCTGAGGCTGTTTGGTGTATGACGCGCGCACGCACCTCACAGGAATCAGTGCGGAACGTGTAACCACTCCTACTCGCTCTCATAGTACTGAACTGAAACGCACTCCCACGCTTATCCAAAGGGAGAGAAATCCACAACGATCTGGGAATTCCCACCGTCCTATTCGCGAGGATGTCAAGGTTCCGGATGTCTCGTATGTCGTTACGGCATCGTGGAGCTAATCCTCCACTCCTGCTCGTCTTTCGGTTGCTCCTCCACCTCCTCCTCCTCTTAGTAGCACAGCCTTCAAGTAAGCCTTTTTTTACTCGATTTATTTTTGTGTCTCCGCGATGCCAACTTGACTTTCGATTAAATTTTTGATTGGTGTTTGATATTGTTACGAAGACTAACACTGTCCGCCGACCCCATTGCACAAAAGTGAGAAAGACAAACATGAGCTTTATATGATAGCTGATGACTTCCACGCTGGTGCAAGTTCTTCCTGTGTCATGGTGATTGCAGACGTTGATTGTTCTGTTCATCTATTGAGGTAAACCTATTTGGTTTTTCAGGCTGTTTTCTCACCTTAAATCATGTTATCTGAAACTGGCACGCACTTCCGAAGACACCTAAAATTAATTGTCTCTTATTCTTCCTGGATTGTCTTTCTATGAAACCATTGGTGGTAGCAGTGAATGCTCTGTCACGCCTCCTAAATTTCAGGAATCCCATTGGTAGGAGCACCATTATCCTAAATGACTCAAGTCAACTGTCTTTAGGCGTTAAGTCATTTGTCGAATTAATGCAAACGACCAATTAAGCCTCCCTTCCTTGTACATTTCCTTTCTTCGATCCACATAATCAGGATTTCTCCAAGCCCACTTCGTCTGAAATGAAAAAAATCAATCAGGGAATACTGCCATGTGCCGTCTTACATCATGTGGACATTTAAGAAGCCTTTACTTTTTTCTTGTGGTCGTTTTCGAGATTTGTGCCTCGACTTCGGGGTTGTCCCACAGGCAGTTTCACTGCTTTGGTCACGCAAGATGCGGTGCTTGGACAGGAATTTGGAATCCGACATTTAGCGCTAGGTGGAAAAATGTATTGTAGACGAATGAACGAGACTAGAGACCTCTCTCATCCAGAATTTGTTCCGTTGCATTTGCAAATGTCGGTAGCCATATATAACACCACCACTTTGCCCAGAATCGACAATGATTGCCTCTCGTAATGGTCAACTTCCCAGCGGGGAAGTGGTGCACCTACGGCCAGCCTTTATGTTGCCTTTTGCAGTTGTCGTGCCAGACCGAGAGGCGACTTTAAGGCATCTCCAGCAACTGCTGATCTAACCGACAGGTGTTTTGTTGCATTCACTCCCAGGGGCAATTTCGGATCGCATCACTTAGCCTGGCTTAAATTTGCTCTCTTTAAAGACTGTCTGTTTACATTGCCACGTTCCCGTAGCACAGAGACTTCTCCCACTTATTCTAAATACTGAAGAAAGTTAAATGTTAGGTTCTCGTAGTGAATTGAGCTTATCCGAGACTGATATTCGGGCAACCAAAATCATGGCAGAAGTAGACAGCCCAATCAACTTTTCGGGAACCACTGATTCGGGTGCCCTAAAATTCACGTTAGATTTGTTGCCGCGAAGTTGAACTTATACTGGTGTCCCCAAATGCGATTCCAGAACGGCGTGATAATTGAATCTTCCTCCATACTCCCTAAGCGCTTACACAATTTTGTAGGGAATTCGCATGAGTAGAAGGGAGTAAAAGATCATTCAAAATTCTACTGATAAGTCTGCATATTGGGTGATTTATATGCATGATGTGGTACGTTAGCATACAGCATTGACATGTTGTCCGGCATACGCTAGTCAGTCCATGTTTTTACTTGTTCCCCCACTTTAAGATAAGGAGTCAATGCCACGTGACCAGGACTCTAGCGGCTTAGAGTAAAATGATTCAGACCAACTTTTCGACTCAATTAGCATTTTAGCATTGCTGTTCGTTTGTAGAGGTGATAACCAGTTTGCGTAAGGTCATGTGGATGAAGCGAAGTTTATTTCCCTCTGTACGCTTTTTGCCATGACATCTTTAAATTAATGTGTGCTGAAAGCTTCTCTCGAAGTCTCTCTTGGACATGATGTAGTGCTTGGGGACTCGTGATCGCGGTAGTAGTTCGCCCTTCGAATTGCCCACCCCTCGGTTGTCAGGGTTTTGCTCAATTAAGAACCTCGACATGTCGTCATTGACATCTGCAGTGCGATCTGACTTTAGTTAGATCACGCGGATCACTTCCATGTCTGGGCGTCATCACCAACACAGCACCCAATGGGATAATGTAGCATGAACGCACTTATAGCCGATGGATTGCAGTGGTTTTAGAACGCGTCTATGCGAAAAAATGTTAAGCTATGACACTAAAAGAGCCCCTTCTGATAGCTGTTAGAAGTGTTGGACCGTGCCTACGACGAAGCTCTTTCGCTACTCGACACCGCCAAAGGAATCTCTCGCTCTAGTCACGAGTCCGCACCCGCTTGCGCGGACCTCGTTAGCCATCGATTTGTGCTCGACTGGGGTCTGCTGCGCGCGGCGTTGTAACAGAGAAATTCCCATGCCACGGAAATTTTCTCACGAAAGATGCGGTGTGAAATTCTGCTGATTCTGAAATAATTGGGAAGAGGGTGCAACGGCAATTCTTTGAGGCACGCTTTCTTACACTGGGCCCTAGTTCATGTGTTCACCCTTCTAAGCCAATGTTTCGGTTCTATAGTCTGGTTACCTGGCATTCTTGTGGTTGACCATCTTGCCTTCTACTTGATGCAAATCAACCAACCATAAAGCTTCCTCGATCGTTTTTTTATATTCGTTTGTTTTCAGGCTAAACACCCCAGGGGTTCCACGGACTTCCTAATCCTGTGGTCATTGGAATCTTCGGTAATTGAAGATGTGGCTACAGGGAATCATAACTCACGAAACTGTATTTGGTGCTGAAACAAGTGTCGATTTTAACGTAGAGTGTCAGCTAAAGGCTCTGAACTACATGTCTGCCCAGACAAACTTTCGAAGCTGGTCTTATTACCTTGCTGATTTTATTCATCCACATATCACCCAATGGAAGGGGTACATTTGGTATTTTTCGAAAAACATGGCCATCAACGGCGTTTCTATTGCTAATAATTCTCTAAATAATCCCTATTAATCTGGCTTTTCCATCCAGTGGCAATTGAAATGTGTACTCGAGACTCCAAAACCAGCTCTAGACAGTTTGGCTTGTGCTGGTCCACTCCTGCGCCGTGTTAACCATAAATTGCTGCATTTTTAATTGACTCGGAGTGCAGAGGTTCTGCTCTGCCTTCAGAGCAAACGCCAAGCACGTCCGAACAGGAGCGAAAATGCGAGGGCCACTTAGTTGAGTCACGACAACTGCTGTCACCATCTGCCAATGCAAGTAGTGGCCACCATGGGGGAGACACATCGATTCGTTTTTTTTAAGATACCGTCTTTTCGCACGCATAAACGTACAGGTATGATCCTCGATGGCTCGGTGTTTGGCTAGAACTTCTAATCCAGCACCCTACCTACGATGTTTTGTAGGCATTGGGTGGGATCAGAATTCAAACCAAACCTCCCGTAATGGTTCTTGTTGAACCTTCGAGTTTATTGGAGGTGGTAAGGCATACATTTCTCCGATTTGCGGATAAGCGCTTACTGTACGCCATAGTACTATGCGTTTGTGCACAGATCACTTTATCAGTTCCAGTGTACTCTGGAATCAGATACTCAGTAATGATCACTCACAATTAGTCTCTAACCAGACAACATTTTCAAAGCCACCATGTATACAGAATGTCGATTTACGTATGAAAAAGGTTGTTGGTCGCCCCATAACTAGGTCACATATATGCACTCCTGTGGTAATAATCCTGCTTCCCATGCCCGCATCTACTCCGATTTATCGATTTTTCCGTTCGTTCACGCGGAACAATTAAGAGATCGCTACTCGTCGCGGTACATGTTGGCTGGGGGACTACAGACGTGAGAAATTTCCAGAGACATTTGCACCTAACTTGGTACAGAATAAGTTAATGCAGTTGAAATGTGTTTGTTGCAACTCGGGAACTGGTCGTTGGTGCGTTACGTTTTGTGTTGCAGTCAATTGAGAACCCTTCTAGAACTTCTAGGAGGTATCACTCGCCATTGTTATTCAAACAGTACCCATGGCAATTAAATGAGACGACGATTTTCCCCGTAGTAAAAATCATCCTGGAAAAAGTAACAAAAGGAGGTTTGAAAGGCTCACGGGAAAGCGTGCCCAAACTATACGACCCACTGTTCTGTATTTAGCTACTAGATGTTCTTTATGTAGAACCAGCCTTCCGGCGACCAAGCTTGCGTTTTCAAATGGTGAACACCTAATGCGATTCAATTAGGACGTAAATAGGAGAGGCATCATTTGAAGTACATCCGAAATTGCATGTCGAAGCAGTGCAAAGTGAGCGAGCGGGCTGATATCCCGTTCAATCAGCCTTTTCAGCCAAGTTGTAGGGGTCAAATTGCAGGAAGGGTAGGTCCAGCCTGTCGTTGACCTCTGACAACTTGGTGGTGGCGGTAGTGTCGGCGGCGGCGGTGGTGATAATTTTTCATTCGTCGCTCCCAACGACGGCAGGAAAAGTGCTTCCCACGTAAATCATGCACACGCGGTTTGCATTGGGGTCAGTGCGATATTCCCTGCCGAGAACATTTGTTTTCACCTCATTCCCCGTCTCCACACCCGGCAAACCCCCGGGGCTCGAATAGGACGCTCGACTCATGTTTTGGGGGGATCCGAGGTGCTGCTACCGAAGTGAGTCCGAAACTAGGCGGTTCGTCCACCCTCTCTTACCTGCAGCAGATTTTGTCTGGGCTGGGTTGAGGGGGGGCTGAGTTCTTATTTAATATCGATCTTTCAAAATTCTGTACTTCTCGTGCGGTTTGGCGGTGGACATGTTGGTGATTTACGGAGGTGGGTTCTTACTCAGAATCCATTCTCCAAAACGTATCATTTTCTGCATACTTTTTGAAAGAATTGAGTGTCTCCAATGAACTTAACCCCTGGACACAAAACTGAAGGAATCGCTTAAAAAGAGGTTCCTAATTTGAATGGCTTTATATGCGGCACGTGGCAGCTGTATTCGGGATTTCTAAAAGTCTTCTGAATTAACCATACAAAGCTAAAAGGATTTTACTTGATTCCGTCACAGCTTTTAAAGGTTTGCTGACGAGAAGTCCTTAGTCATACTTATAAGATTAAGATAAATCTTGGGAGACACCTGGTGGATCAGTAGGGTAGTTATCAAACGCTTTAACTTCCAATCTTCTGATTTTTACGCCAAGGCTTACGCTTTTGTGACCGTCCTTTATGTAATGTAGAATAAGTACTAGTAAATGTATAATTTTTCGTTTGCTCATTATTGATTTGTTCATAATTACAAATTTAAATTGTTCCGCCAGTTTTTTCCTAAAAATTCTGAGGTGCTGAAAAGTGACCCACTTTTCCTTGCAACTGTCGGCAATAACTTGAAAGCTTGGCCCGAAGTTTGCTAGTTTGGTAGATTTCACAGCTTGCCTTTGCTAGAATTAATGCTTCACTACAGGTGTACCCTTACTATTATAAACTGACTTTTATGTCTAATTGAAGTGGCTCTGTTTGAGGTCAACTAATGTCCCCCTTCCGCAAGAATCTCCCTTTTTTACCTCTCGTGTGCGCGCGCGCACACACACACACAATGCAAGCGTCCTGTTACTGGGTCGACAGGAAGAAGGACCATAGTTTGAAGTGGGACAGCAGATGCCATACTTTCCTAAACTATAAGTTGCCCAAACCCTCTCCCCAATCAAGGCCTCCCTCCAACCCCTTGAGGGTCTACATGGCTGCTACTGCTGCTGCTGCAACATAATTTCCATGTCAATAGTTGGAGAAATCTTGATTTGCTGCTTTTATCGATTTTGCCCAGCAATAATCACGATCAGGTCTAACAAAAAACAATTCTCTCGACCTCAAGAGAAGGCTTTACCAACTCCTGTCAAACGCTGGTTGAAACGGGCTGGGTAGTCGTCTAACCACAACCAGATGCCTTTCAATGACCGCTTTAGAATCCGGCGGGCCAAGTACTCCTGTGATTCTAACACAAGTTGGTAATTTAATTAATGTAATTAGGGTGGAACTTATGATAAGCAGTGGGCTTACGATTTCGTGGGTATTTTTCAAACCATCAAGCCTTAACTGATTTTTATGCCACGTGGGTTGCACGCTATCAGCTGTCTTCATGACTGTAGACTTTAATGCAATTCTCGTCCAGATGTTTTATAGTTTGTGTCCTAAAAGTGTTATCATCGGCTCATTCAAATCCATGCCTAGAGGGTTTGGAAATAATCAATAAAGATGATTTTGGCCTCGATATGATCATGATAGATGGCCTGGTCCTCTTCCCCACCCTAAGGCCTTTCAGCGTGAATTCCTAACCCAAACATGAAGTTGTCATCACTTGAATACGGTTCTATTCCAGTTGCTCAACGTAGTCCGGAGAAGAATGGTCCTTGAATAGCAAAATACGCCAAGTATGGCCGAATTTCGTTTCAGAGAGCATGAAAAGATCCATACAAGTATCTCTCTAGGAATACAATAACTCAATCAAAAGTGGAGTCGTGGTGGGTTTATCTGCAGTCTTGACTAGTACCAGTGTGACAGACTTTCCAGCACATTTGCCTCTCAACCTCCAGCACCTCGCCAGTCTCCTGCTCACCACCTGACAACCCCCATTTGCAGTGGAGCCATCTTCAGTCCAGATGGTTGGCATGTGCTGTGTACACTGTAACAGAAAAAAATTGTTCCGCGTGCCGTTGGGGGGAGTGGTGTCCATCGTTTGCAAAAGGAAGTCACCACAACACCCTGGGATTTTCCTCCCTTTTATCTCGCGCCCCACCTTCTCCACTTTATTTCTACCCTGTCTTTGGTTTCTGCCTACAATTCGTGAATACAAATGGTGTCTTTGGTGTAATTTTGCTCAGTTACAGATTCGACTGTCTTAAATTTGAGTCGTCGTGCAAATGGTGTGATACGACAGTGTGAATGTTTTGATCATGCCGCATTACTGGTGCTCTGTTGCCGAGACTAATTCATGTGTTGCTAAGATAGAAATTGCATTTAACCAATCTGCCGCTGGCAATTTGATAACGAAAGATATTCAACATTCAAATGAGGCTGTTGCATAAGAATAGAGCGCGATTCCTCTTAAGTTCTCTGTGCAAATTTGTCACAGGAGAGTAATTACCTTTGCGTCAATTTGGACTGTGCACATCACAGCGAAAAGACGTCAGTTGTTTACTTATGATATTACACGCACAGTGACAGCCATGCCTACCATGTCCCGATTATCGATCGGTTGATGGCTATGGTGGGTGCCATTCGACACGGCGCTGATCTGCAGACACCCACAAAAGCCAAATTCACACCAGTAACGGCCACAAAAGTGCAAACCGATGGGTGAATTCCGACATCGCATGGAGTTAATTGTATGATTTAAAATTACGGTTACAAATAAAATCTAGTACTTTTAATTAAATACTTCTTTTTGTCGCTGTGCGGCAGTCATGTGCATTCCTACTGCCAAAAGAGTGAAACTTGCCAGTAACTGGGTTTTTGAAATTTAGAATTCACATTCTGGAGCAGTCCGCTCCGGATGCATAATTTGTTTTCTTGTTTTCAATCAGAATAGGTTACCTTCTGCGTCGGGTGATTCTGAGAAAATGCTGCGAAAGGTGTGTCGTAAATTGCAAATTAAGTTTCTTTTGAGACCTCAAAGTGCATGTGGAGACAATTTTTGATCTCAGATGAGAGGCCGTTCCACGTTAAAATATTCTGCGGGATCAGCTTACGCCTACTTAAACAAGCATGCACGACGTGACCATTTACAAGATACCACGCCTATACCAACAGTGAATGGATCGCTGATTGGCCATCGTTGTGTGAGCGAAATCGCTTGCACACCCGAATTTGCAATGGGTATGAAGCCATTCTAGGTGAGATCAAAAGCACTCATAAGGGTCAGAGGTCTTCTTAAACGGACTTGTTTCGAAGAAAATGAAGTCATTTCCTATAGTGGATAGATTTAGGCGTTAAATCAACTTTTGACCTTAGTACAACACGATTTGATCCGATGGTGGCACTCAGGACAATAAGGCCACGGACAACGAGAATATTCCATGGTGAAAGTCTTAATTCTGTCTGAAACCTCCAGCTCGTAACAGCATTGAGAGCCCGTAAGTGTGCGAGTGTCGATTTGAGCGTCGGCCAATTGTGAGGGAGGGCGTTGCATGGGTTCGTCTTCACTCACGCACAAGCAAAGCGTATGACTCAGGAATCACAAGACACCGGCGTTCATGGGTGCACGCATGCGTGTACTTAGTGCATCAGACAGCAGGCGTCTGCGCACAGCGGTGACGCACGTCGGTGAGTGGGTGGTGCCAAAAACGTGATCGCCTTCGCGCTGTGTGTGGATGTGTTTATTGCGTGACCTGTCAGTTGGGTCTCACTTTGCGAATAACCACGACCTCTGTCGATAGCTCCGATCCCCGAATGCCTGGCAATTGCAAGCCCAAAACAACGCGATTGTGGCTCTTCAACAAGTGATGCTTTTGGCGTTATTCACACTCCAGAAAACGGGTTCATAATCAATTCTCACTTTAGATAACTCACCATCGCCCCCAAAGTAGTTTACCACAGCGAGAAATGCTCTGTTCGTGCCTTGCTTTGTTTGAACTTGCTCAAAGTGGGAAGGTTCGTACGCAACTTAACATTGCGGTTGATGCCAAGACATTTCCTTGTAGAAGGGGCTGCTGCAGAACCACCTTGCCTTCAAAATCCTTGTCGAAATGGAGGCAAATGTGAGCCCTTTTCTGGCACTCCAGATGGGTACCAGTGCATTTGTCCTGAACCCTACGGTGGCCCCAACTGTACCATTGAAAATCCCACCTGCATTGACATGCCTTGCCTCAATGGAGCGTCATGTGAAGACCTCCCGAATCGACAATTCAAGTGCATTTGTCCCCCGGGTTTCGCAGGTAGGTCGCTGCTCCTCGTTTCGTGTCGGCCCTGTTAAATATAATTCGCGATCCCTGAAAGGGAAGCAATAAGGTTGCACAATTTGTTCGAAATAAGGAAAAGACCCTTCTCTGGATTCGGCTCCATGTGATGATAGACAGTGTAGACATTCAGTTGCCATTAGGGGACGAAGTACCTCCTCAGCATTCTGCAGAAACTCCAAAAGCAAATTCCTTCGAATTTTCAGTGAACGTTTGTTAAGGGGTTACAGTGCCTGGCATTAAGCTTTATGTTAAGGTTAACATGCGACAGCATATTCTTATTGAGTACGTCTGCAGGGCTCTTGTAAACCCACGACGTGAACCCCGGACTCATATTTTACACTTAAGAAAGTTGAGCAGTGATGTCACTGGCGGTTAATTATACTTGCAAAACACTCCTTTGTTGATCGCAGGCTCACTCGAGTCAGCTAGCCAGCAGGCATCTGGCTCTGTCAGCCAGTTTCATGGGTAACCGTCGTATGGAATACGGTATACGGAATCTATTTCATCGTGTAACTAGACTCGAATGCAAACTTGTTGTCCTGGTTTGCGGGAGATTCGAGTTGATTGCACTGACACTTCTTTCCCCATTCAGGCCTCAGGTGTGAGTTCAAGGACCCTTGCCTGGTGAAACCGTGCCTCAACGGAGCCAGATGTTTCTCGAACAACCTCGGGAAGCGCGAATGCCACTGTCCAGCCGGGTTCACCGGCGACGACTGCAGCGTAGATGTGAACGAGTGCGCAATTGGCGAGCGCTCGCCCTGCGAACACAGTGGAACCTGCATTAACGAGGTTTGTGCTTTCAATCCTTTATGACCTATAGTCGATCAGTTTAACTTCACCAAAGCAAGTAGCTAGCATTTGTATGAGTGCGAAGACACAGCTAATTGAGCTCTGGCGTCCAAAGGCACAGCGGTTGAGGTCATTTTGACAGGGAATAATCGAAGAACTTCCGATAATATATGTGGAACATGATTTTTCCATGAATTCGATGCCTCGTTCAGTTGTTCGGTTTTGTGTGCGTTGCTTGTAAAATATTTGGTCGAAGCAAGCTGTTACATGACCTCGTCTGACCGTCTTTATTGTGGGATGTGCTCCGAGAATTAGCCGAATCCACAAAAGCGACGCCTCTCACAGGGGTATCCACGTGGGCACCTTCATTGGTGGCAAGACTCCTTCTTAATGAGACTTTCAGTTGCCACGGCCGAAGCCCAGGTGGCTTGGTTCAGACGATGCATTCAACCGCACCCCCTTTAAAGTTACTTCGCCTCTACTCGCACATGTGGTAGAGCGTTTAGTGCCATTTCGTGGTTAACTCAGTCCTAGGAATACGATTTTCCATTTAGAAGGGTCCCAAATTAAAGCTTAGTCCGGGGTGAAGCCCTAGTCTGGGCCTCTTGAGAACTGCACTTTACGTCCCCGCTGGAGGCGACGGCAATCGATCGATAAGGCGGCATTTGGTCTTTCAACCGCGCCGATACGAATGGTTACGCGGACCTGTGGTAGAATACAAAAAAAATGTACACGCACTCGTAATTTGAATGTGTAGGACCGTGACCATAAATGAATATGTGAACTTATTGTAAACCACCTTCGTCGGTTAAATCTCAAAAACAAGGCGCGACCAAAAGCGCTTAGGGGTTGTTTTACACAGCTCCGTCATTTCTTTCAAGAGATATGAACCAGAGAACCGTCATTCTTATTCTGATCGTTTTGAGTTTTACTGGGAGTTTAGAAACACTGCTTCTGGCAGCGAAGTTGGTCAGTTGTGAGCGGTCGAAATGCCGCCCCCATGCAGCAATTCACCTCTTTTATGCAAACAAATGTCACTGAAGGTGAAAGTGTGACGTGCATTTTTGTGCTTTTCGCCACTGCCGGGTCCCACGCTCGTGCGCGTCTTTTTGCTTATCTTGTTGCAACCTAGCACTTTGAGTCATTCAAACCAAGGTGATACACACCGCCACGGCCAGCGGAGTCCACTCCCTCGTCGGATGTTTACGTCATGGGTGACATGTGCACCAAAAATCTTACCGAAGCGCGCGCATCTATGATGGTGGTCTCACCGGTGCTACCACCACCCCTTCACTGTGCACCAGCGATAGAGCTCGCGTGGCTTTTGATGCCAGCCTCCGTTAAGGTCTAATCAGTGCCTCTCCAAGTTCTGGGTTAGTTGCCCCCTCACTCTGTCGTCTGCTCTGGATCAGAATTAAGTAAATGTGAGTCTATCAAAAGCAAGATATGACACCGCAAAAGCCTCGTCAGTCGGCTTGAGTTCCGCCTATAACTGGGGTACCTGGCGAGGTTAAGGCCACCTGATTCCTGATGTAAAATTGTTGACGAGCACACTGCCTTGAAGCTCCATTAGTCGTCGGTTTCGTATGATACCTATGAGGTTCAAATTTTGACTAGTGTTTGCCGTTTTTCAACTGTAGCCCGGAGGCTACCGGTGTGAATGCCTCAGCGGATACACGGGACCGCGCTGCGAGACTCTCGTCCTCAACTGCAAGCCAAATCCGTGCTTACACGGGGGCCTCTGTCACGACAAGGGCGATGGCCATGAATGTCTCTGCCCCAGAGGTAAGCTCGTCATTTCTACACAATTGGTCTTGACAAAGTAGGCCTTTTTTAAAGTAGTCAGAGACACGAAAGCTAAAACGCTTAGACTACTCTGACTCCACAAATAACTGCGCTGTTGACTCGAGTGTAAAGGCATTCTCCATAGCCGTGACACGATGTTGCTTAATTCGAAGGTCAAGAGCCTTCCACGATGGTTAAGCTGGTGGAGTATTTCCCTAGTCTTTGTGTTCGTCGTCAATTACCGAAGCAGTGCACTCAATTCCGATGCTTAGAGTCATTTGTTAATTGCAAAGTTATAAAGTAGATCAAGGGCTGCTTGGACAATTGTTGTGCGTCACTTCTCGGGGTCAATGATCTGAACTGAGCTTGATTTTCGGCTATGACTGGCCTTCCCATAGGTAATTAGCGACTCTGTCTCCTAATTCCCCACATCTGTCAACATTCACGGAGTTACATGAAGATGTAGGCGAAATGGTAACATAAATGGTTTTTTTTCGGGAACAATATGTAAGTATCACTGTGCCTCCGCAAACAGTGCAAGTCCTCAGGATCCCGCGACGAATTAGCACTGAAATTGGGGTTAAGGCGTGTGCACAAATATTCGCGCTTTTCAGCGGCACTGCCGATAGAAGCAACAACAGAGTGGATAAAACGATACATTGAACCGGACAGTTGAAGCATCAGTACTGGTGTGTGGTGGTGATGGGATGGTGGTAGTGGTAGATTTTACTGCTCCGCTTGCAAGACATGCCCAGTCCGCCATGCCCCACATCGATTTTATTTTGGTGTTTTCCTTAACACCGACCGCCGTGTGATCGCGTGCTTGTACGCCCCACACCAGCAATTAACCTTCTCCGCTGCTACCTCGCATTCCTCGTCCACGTCGCCCCTCAAGTCCAGGCGTCAAGGCGCTACCTGAGTTTGCAGGCACAGCACTATCGGACAAGGAAAAACGTGTCCTCCTGCATCACCTCTTGATTGGCGAGTGGAGTGCTGATCTTGTTTCAAATTCCTACTTTGTTGAATGACTTCTGCTAGTCTTGCCATCACCACCGCCGCCACCACCATGTACAGCTAACTCAGTTGATTTGACCATAAGAGATATAAGTGTCCACACCTTAGTCATTTTCATGGTGCTGCTTGGCGTTGCACTCAGACCACCAGGAATCACCGGATCAATACACATTTGCTTATTACTGACTCTGCATATTCGAGATCTCAAGTAAAAAAGAACTTTTTAAGTGAATTATAAGGGAGTGACAGGTATACAGGAGGAAAATGACTTTCTCTTAAGTTTCAAATCGGTAACGTTTTCATTCAAGCCTTGTTTTCCTCAGGGCCCGCACCACTGTTTCAAGTAAGTTTGGGGGAATAATGTCTCTGTCCACCTTTATTACATTGGTCAGGTTGAATGGTCATGTTCCTTTGCCATTGACTGTCACCCATTAAGAGGAGTCAATTGTTTGCTGCCGTTAAGATGCGCGTTGCCTTTCTGATTGGGTGCTATTGTGTTTCTATCCTCCATGTGAATTTACATTACGCTAGGCAAACTAACCGAATTTTTCCGATAACCAATAGGTTTTGCCTTTGTTTGAACTTGTCCACAGGTTACGAAGGAAAACGCTGTGAAACCAACTCAAATGACTGTGCGGGGTCGCCCTGCAAAAACGGGGGTATCTGTGAAGACCTCATAGGAGACTTCCGGTGCAATTGTCTACCAGGATGGAAGGGACACTTTTGTGAGGAGAAGATGCTGCCCTGCGATTCAAAGCCATGCTTAAATAATGGTGTCTGTGAGAACACGGCCACTGGACACCGATGCCACTGTACTCAAGGTAAGCACACGTTATCCTCGGACCAGTAGCACTTATCCTTGGTTCCAGGTCTTAAATAGTTCAACAAATAAACCCCTATGTTATTGGCATTGTGTGCACGTCAGTCGCTGCTCGCGGGGGTCGCAGCCTCTCCAAAGTCGGATGCGCAGTCTGTCTCGCGAGCCGTCCTGACCGGCAGGGCATGTGATCGGCGAATCTCTGCTCTGGCTTGTACACGTCGCACTGCAACTGCTCCCGGTAGCGCAGTATGCGTCTACTGCGGACGTCCACTCATTGTAAACTGTGACCGATTCAAGACACACTTTTTTCAGAGTGGACGGGTGGGGGGTCGGCTCATATTGATGAGGGTGGTGGTGGTAGTGGTGGTGGTGGTGGCGGGGTAAGACAGGGCGGGGTGGGTGAAGGGACCAGGCGCGCACAGCTACAACAGCTGTATTCGCGCGACTTGTTTGACAAACGGCGCCTCCAGGTGGAACACATTGTTGTGCATGCATGGCTGGGTGCGTCCTCGCACGCGCGCACGCACACATACGGTGTATTCCACTTAGTAGTCTGCGTCAAGTACTGTTTTGGGCGGCCACCGATAATGGGCCTTCGTAATTCTCTCACCCTTGCCAAAAGTTTGTCATGTGTTTGCTTAATTTTGTGACTACGCTCACGAAGCGATGTCTCATGTGGGATGAATTGTCGGATGTATAGCTGCATTCTTAACAGCACCAACAATAACACAAGAATCGTGTCAAAGCTGGGGTCTCGACATTTATGTTCCTACCTTAACACTGAATGACTATCACGTTGACTAATGTTCTTGCAACAATCTTGATACTCAGGACTTACTGATTGGCTCCTGGTGCCGTCAATGTCATCGCCTTTTTTCAACTGGCATTTCATGACTGACACCTCTCAGCACTTTGCTGTGTTTCAAGCTAAACCTCTTCTTAGTGTGACTGAATTCAATGAAATAATGTGTGGCGTGTGAGAATGTGAGATTTACAATAATTTATCTCGCTTTTTGTCACTTAGCTAGATCCGTCATGGTAGTATTGACGTTGAATTACTTTGCTGAGAACGAAATTTGAAAACGGTCTGAGTTACCTTCGTAGAAAGTCTGCCAACCAGTCTATTAGAAATACTCCTGCCAATGTAGTTTTCCGCTGATGTTTGAATCTCTAACAGTACCCAGGTCGCATTAGCTGAATCTCACTGCTGATCAGCTTGTTGCCTAGCCTGAGTGTGCGTGCGAGTGGGCTCGTCAGTCCCTATGGTGTTATCGTCGATAGGAGGCGAAGTACAAGTAAAAAAAAGACGCGAATGGGCGACGCTCCTCTCCCTCCGCCCCCTTCCCCCCCCCCATTAGGGCCCTCAGGCCGACAGTTGGTGGGACTTCGATGCATTGTTGTCGGCCTTGGCACTACAGCAAATAATCTATACAGCTAACATCTATTTGTTAATACTAGTCGAACGAGCTTTCCTGCTCCTGTTTGAAGCAGTAGCAACTGGCGGTAACACAATGCCCAGGTATGGTCGTCGTGGGGTTCGGTGTTTAGTTGAAACCTTCCTATCCGTAGTTCGCCTTTTCTTTTGTTGAAGGTTTCAAAGGATCACGCTGTGAAGTTGACGTCGACGATTGTGTGGGCATCTCTTGTCTCAACGGTGGCTATTGTGTTGACCAACCAAACGCTTGGTACTGTCAATGTCCTCCAGGTTACTCAGGCAGAAACTGTGAGGTCCAGGAGACCCCAGCTTCAGCTTCCGGCCTTGCAACCTGCAGAAAAGGCAAGAGCTGTCTCCACAGTGGCACCTGTCACCGCTCATCCGGTGATAGACAAGCGGAGGCCTTTTGTGACTGCCCCCTAAATTGGCACGGCGAGTTTTGCGAGATTCCCGTGTGCCCAGAGGATGCCTGTGCAAACGGAGGACGTTGCGAAGCCCTGCTTTTGCACTTCGGCAATGAGTTTGAGCCGTCACAGAAACAGTCCTACTGCAGTTGCCCTCCGGGCTTCTTTGGAGACTACTGTTTAGACAGGGTATGATCAGTTAGTTGGTTCTTGAATACTCCTCGGTCTAAGACGGGGCTGAACTTGTGTTGTTAAAGCAAGTGCGAGGTGCCGACAAATGCCGATAACGTTTAATCCCAGTTTGAAATTAGATCCGGGGGATTGGTAAATTGGTAGACTAAGATATTTCAAACACCAACCAGTCATTCAGAAACAGGAGGTTCCATAGCTTAGTGTCAAAATTCCCTATGGCCAAATCGATTCCCGTGATATTGTATTTGTTCGTAAGACACAAAACGTTCCGTATTTACCGCTTTAGATTTGCGTTAAGGGCACCCAATTCCACTGTATTCTGTTCCTACGAAAAGGGATGATTCATGTGTTGTCTGCGAAAACGCGACCCATTTCGACGGAATGTGCAGGCATTATCATACAAGGGCCGTTAATAACCCCCATGTATCTAGATACGTTCCGGAAAATTTAATCTTTGGAGAAAATGTTCATTTTTTAAATGGAACTTTCCAAAAACTGCCACACAGGTCATGACCTAACAGCAGATCACGACACATGAATTTAGAATGGCGACTTCCATTTGCAACCTCGCACTCTGGCCCAAATTAGGCGAATAATATCATTCTAATCATAATTGTGCACGCACATACATCATGGAAGCATTTGTTGTTGTGAGCTATTGTGCTGTCAACACCCGGAAACGTCAAGCCTGTATCAAATCGCTCATTCCCATTTCACTCGGTAAACTGCAAACCGGCTGAGGTGTCAGGTGGATTGAAGAGAAAAAAACAAGAAGGTTTATATCCGCACGACGTGTTGTTTACGCCTACCATCTCCACGCAGGTTGACAGGTGTGCGGCGGACTTGTGCACGAACGGTGGTTCGTGTCTAGACGAGGCCGGCGGTGGCGCCCGGTGTCGCTGCCTGCCGGGTTTCGGAGGCAATCGATGCGAACGCACCCTCCGAACGTGCTCCGAAGAGCCTTGTCTAAACGGCGCGTCCTGTGTGGAGGCCACAGCACCCACCGAAACCTCAACAAAGTCCCTATTCTCTTGCCGATGTGCGCCTGGATTCGAGGGTGCGTTTTAAATGATTTTCTCTGAATTTTAGCATTTAATTTGCTTTTAGCCTAATTTGGTCGTGTCTTCCGGGTTCCGGGAATGACCAGTAGAGACTCCTACAATGTGGCTTGTTTTGGCTGGCATTAAGTGAAACCAACAAGCGACAGACGGTCCGTATAAAATTTTCCATGCAGTTGCTTTAGCCACAGATTTGTGAAGTATTTTAGGTAGGAGGTTTTAATTAGACGATGGAAAGTGCTCCCTTTGGGTTGTGCATGGGAAAAGTCTAGCTGGGTTATTTAGTCGATGTTTCGCGAGGCATGGATAAAAGGAAAAGGTCATCGAAATCCGGCTCCTGATGATGCAAGCAAGCGACGTACACACCCTTATGTTGTTACTTTTATTCGTCGTAGTATTGACCATTTTATGTTAAATTACTGAATAATATTTAATGCCAAATATCGATTTAAGCCGACTTACTGCAATTAAGCAACGACTGATCTCGGACGACGTTGGATTTCTTTGCTGATAAATGGGGCAGTTCAACCCTAGCGAACTTAAGGTGTACTCGGCTAAAACTGTGCGAATCTCAATCTGTCTGTTATCAAACTGGACACACATCCAGCACATTTCAAACGTTTACCTACGCTTACCTAACTAGTGTTATCCTGCTCTATTGGTCCAGTTGTCTGTTAAGTATACGAAGGTTAAACCATTCCGATATCACCTTGAATGCATTTAAATTTTCGGTAAGTTTAGTTACTTCATCGAATTACATTCGAACCTTTTACTTTTAATATTTAAACATTGAGAAATCACAGTTCGCATTCCAATGGAATCATCATAGTCCACAACTCAATGTCTTATTGCTCGGCTACTGAACCAAGTTCAAAGTTGGGCGGTGAAAGAGCTGGTGGAAACATCTGCCGAGATCTGTGTTTGTGCTCGCGTTCTGCCCGCCGCTTTGCGTGACCGCCCGGCGGACCACTGTAGGTGGATTCCGTACCAATTTGGCCCGAAGTAGAGCTTAGAACAGTTGTGGAGATCTAAAAATATATTATCGAGACGAAGGTAGTCTCATTTTGGGTCATAGATAAGATCGCGCTTTTCTTGACATCTCACATGAGGCCATTTTCTGGTGAACCTCCATCGCCTTAGACTGCTCGAGTACCTTCAGCATGTTTTACAACCATGAAGGTACATCTGGTCGGATTGAGTTCACTCAGGGACGTATTATGCACTTCTCGTCGACTTGTTGGTTTGGTTTGGTTCATTTGAGTTAGTGGAATTTGTTAAATTGAAACATGTGTAACTAACTGCCGCAGTTTACACTGACACTTTGTACCTGCAATCGTTTGCTGAACCTCTCCTTAAGCCCTCCAACATCTGTCCACGAAAAAATTAGGTAATGAGTGAGCGAATTTCAAAGTGGCATCTACATGACTAACCGTACGGCATCGAGGAACATTCCTTTGGTGCCAGCAGAAAGGCATCTTCAAAAAACCCCAGACGGCGGTCAGTAAAACGAGGGAGTAGTCGCGATCCCGGTTTTTCGCCTCATCACCCCCACACACACACACAACGCATAAAATTACCGCCTTTCCTTGTGTTTACATAGGCGCACACACCACGGAGGCATTGACTTTGATAGATTGTAGTAGCGGTCAGAAGTGGGCCAGACGCGCTTGTGCCGGAAGCAGACAGTTGTTTTTGCACTTACGCTAACCACAATTATGATGCCCCATTACCCAATCGCAAGTGTTGTCCGTGGTCTGTGTGGCTGTGTCTGAGCCTTTTGCGAAGGGTCTAAGATCACGCCGCTCCACCGTGTTCGCCCAAACTCCGGCCTCGGCCTGACGCGTCGGGCCCAGTCTCCAGTCGGAACCACGTGATATCGAGCCTATGGCGGACTCGTGTCCCGTCAGTGTGCTACAGAAATTCGCGTTAGCACGACACGATCACGTTTCATTGTACGTATTTCCGCTCAATCAGGTTGGTGCACAAGTAGCGTCTGGTTACAAGATTTTAATTTTGGGGTAAAAAAGCATGGTTACGAAAGCATCATTTCTGTTGAAATTGGTAGAAACTAAAATTGTAATAAGCGAAATCTTTTTAACAAACTGCCAATAGCATTTATGAAAGAAACGGACACAACTATTTCATCAACCTAGTACTTAGTGGAAGCTATTTGGGCGAAGACAGCACGGTTCATTTTAACTGCTCCACTCCTTCATAGGTTCCAAACACAAGTCACAATTTCATAAGTCGGATCGACTCTTCTTGATTTCCAGTAAAATGGCCCAAGTCCCCTTCGATCTTGACAATTAGAAGGAGTGGGTTAATATGCACGTAATCATCTTGATGAGTCAAGGCTTCAGCTGTTGTTAAAAAAATTGGATTGGTATTTCAAAACACAACGGCCGAAAACTGGAGGACATGAGTCAGGAAATTATTCGCCAAACCGACCACGCCCGCTGGTTTCGAATGCAGTGTTCGGGTGAGGAATGAAGACTTGCTGAAATCACAGTCTTTTTCTTTGACGCCTGTCTGCAGACTGGCAGATAACCCTGATTGTGGCAGGGTGCGTGGGAGCCTAACTCCAAGGCCACCCTGAGTTTGTATGAAACCTCGTAGCAGTGACAGCCCGCTGACGTGATGGACACAGGCTCCAAACAATTGAACATGCAGCTTCATGCCAGAAAAGCACTTTGACGACCGGGTGGCTCTTTTGGTATTACCAAAGCCACCCACTCTGGAGATTGAATCGACTAAGCCTTGTGCTTTTTCAAATCCCCTTCACCGTTTTCCTGGCCATAACAACCATGAAGTTTGGGAAGGCAAGGAACTCGATGATTTTAAGATTAAGTAGTGTAGTTGATAATCAGGCTCATTGTTTTACTAACTATACTCAATGAGTCACTGTTGCCCGGATGTCGGACACAGTGGCAACACACCTCCCCTCTGCTCCATCGAGGCTGGAGGTCGTTTGATGGTCCACTCAACTTCGATAAAGCCATAACAAGTCTGACTCAAGCATGCCTGTTAAGCTTCACGTCAACACCCTCTTTTAGTGCAGTTTGTAAGCTGAGCACAATTCCCAAATTGACAGGACGACGCTGTGGTGAAGGGGTTGATGTTAGTGGTAGTCAGAACGGGCACCTGCTGTGTTGACAGGTGAAATTTGGGCGGTTTTGTGTGGTGTGCGCACACTGGTGTGTACGCAAGTGGGTGCACACCCCGCACAGCTGCTGGTTGCTGCGTCTTCGACACGAGGTGATGGGGGAGGGAGGGAGGCGAAAGTGAGTTCATGGGCCCATCACTTTGGCATTCGCGAGCGCACGTGCATCCAAGCCACACGCTGGACGATGAAATGACTGACCCCATTCAGAGCCCACAAACGTCAACGGCTAGTGGCCTCTATGTGAATACAAAGAATTAATCATACACTGCATAGTGCGAGAGGATTTATTAACTTTACACCCAAATGACCGTCAAGGGTCTGGTAGTAGTGACTTGTGGTAGGGCAGCAAATGGCGAGTTTGTTTTGCGGTTTCACAGTACCTGCAGTTGATCTTCTCGAGGCAATGGTAACATGTACGTAAAGGAACATCTCACGTGAGAACCGATTGACCTTAGGCGTCCCAGTGGGGGCGATCCTCTCCAACTTCGTGGTCGTGCACTGTCACCCTCTCTTCCTTATATATCAAGCATCCCTAGTCAAAATGCTCCACGTTTCCTAAGTAGACTTCAAGTGGGTATCAGCTAGTCAATGCGTTCAAGGTGAAGTGCTGTTTTAAGTCGCAGTTGGAGGTTTACAAGTGACGAGTCCCCACCAAAGAATGTAACAATACTCGACATGAATGGCCGCGAAGCTTCGAGGCATTATTTAGCGTATGGACAAATATAACGTCAACCACAGTGTTGGTCTGATTTATTGCTCGAGTTAGATCTGCTCTTTCCCAACGCGGACTTACCAAGTTCTCAGGATGCGCGAATAATCTGTTCCATTCAAATAAATTTTGGTGTTGGCTGTGACGACCGTTTAGGCACACACACACACACGCGCAGTGTATTTCAGGCTCTAAATAGGCTGGTAACAGTCAGATGACCCAGTTATGAAGCCAACATTGTCAATGCATTGCAAGTACCGTTTAGCCTTTTTGCGCAAACCCACATGATGTTCGAGTGAATTGCCGGGTTTTGCAAAAATTTTCTGCAATTGGAGATTCTTGATGAAATTGTTGGTGGCGAGGGCTGCACACTGTGGACTGAATTTGCATAAGAGAATTTGAGGTCCCATCGACGCTACCGGAATCGCAGTGGGGAATGTTCATAAGGGTACAAAGGACACACTAGATCGAGCCTTGAAGTGAGTTTGACTCACGCACATGCATACTAACACTTATGTCGGAAAATGGTCACGGCCTGAGTTAATACTGCACGTAGTTGTGTAGTCGAAACTCGGGATATTTCGACTTGCAACTGTTTAATTACTTGGGGTCATGGCACACTATAGGTGGGTTGCTCTCCTCGTTGTGGACGGTGTATCTTCGCTCGCATACCTCGTGCCTTTATTTCATCTATCTAACTCTACGCCCCTGTCTAACGGTCTTCTCACCAAGGCGCATTATTGAGTGGGATTTCCGTTAGTCATCGCACGATTTGCGTACGAGCGGAGTTGGCGAGACTGGTACTCCTGTTTTGTGTCATGTCTCCCACTTGGAACCCCAGCTGTCACCGCGGGGCCTAGAAAATGTTTATTGTGGCGGAACAGACTTATTAAGTGCACTGTAGAAGCCATCTGCCTCACTTTCGGTTTCCTTCCTTCAGGCAAATTTTGCGAATCAAGGATTCCCTGCTTCGGCATGAGCTGCGGAAACCACGGACACTGCAAACGAGGCACCAATGGGCAGCCCGATGAGTGCCTCTGTGAAGCCGGCTGGGGTGGTTCTGAGTGTCAGTTGCGCGTCACCTCCGAACTCCAACCTGTTTCCCTCACTTGTACCAGTGAGCCCTGTGCCAATCTGGCCCAGTGCGTTCCCTCAAAAGGCGCAAGGGGTTTCAGATGCCTGTGTGAAACTGCGCTAGGAAATTTCACTGGTATGTCTATAGTTTCTGGCTTTTGTCTCATGGTGCATTAAATCAGCCTGCCTGCGTGTCCATGCAACACACCTGGCTTACTTTTTTGCACCACATAATGTATAGTTTCTGACAAACCATTCTGTTTCGACTACCGCATGAGCCGGAATTCTATAAATGAGGATCCAAGTATCATCGACCCAATAACTACTTTGGAAACACACGTGAAGCAAAAATTTTGAGTCAAGGATAAATTTATTTAGTAGAGAACTTGGAAATGAATCCATGAAATCAAATTCTAAACTGAGCCAACATTTTGTGGCGGGCTAAATGTGTGCGTATGTATGTTGGTGTAAAAATCCTAAAAAAATACTTTGGATGCTACCAAGGTGACCTCTACGGTCTTTGCGGCCGAGTTTCGACACGTCTAATGCTATTTTCATATGCGGCTGTTAGTAAACTGTAGTAAAAGGCAACTACTTCGCTATCGGTTAAATGTAGTCGGAGTCGTCTTGTTCCTGCCGTATGCAGTGGATTTGAATCCTGATTAGAAGTGAGCGGGGATTACCACTTGAGTTTGGCGGGAGTTTGTTCAGCTTGATTGTTTTGTAAAAGACAAGCCCTCCAGCCAACGGAAGACTGAACAAGCAAATAGCTGTTGCACCACAAATTCAGCAGACTTTCGCTAATACCTCTGGCACTACATCACGCTCCACCTCTGCGCTGCATCCACGCGACCAAATTGCCAAATTTACTGGCACTTGTATTTTTGTGTGCGGATGTGCTTGTACCACCCACAGCGGGTGTACGGGGCCGAAGGTTCCATTAATAACTACGAAGAACGGGCAAGAGTCAGTAAGTGAATGAAGTCGCTCTCCGGCAATGTAAACACATCGAAATCCCGTGTGCGGATGCGTGCTGTGCAACGAAGAACCCAATTCAATCACTACTAATCCCAAGCTCATATACGTGGACGGCCGCTGCATTGCCTCACTTTAAACGGGAGGCAGACACGGGGATGTGCTAATTTATTAAGTTGCAACTATGTGGCACCAGTGTAAGGATACTCCGAACTCTCGAGAATGCCGGAAGCTTCGTAATTTCGTTACACTCACCTGGCTCATTGCCAAGCAATGTAACTAAAAAAATAAAGCATGCATTCGACCCGATCAGTTTTATCTGGTTCGATGATGAACAACAGAATTCAGTCTTGTCTTGGTAATCGGTGTCATCCATGCTGAGTCTTGATGCTTTTCTATTGGGTTCCAAACATGTGACGGATGTGTAAACTCACAGTTTCCAATGTTGGATCGTCTGATGCCACTGATGTCTACTGGTCGAATGAAAAGGCGTGTCTGTCCAAGCCCTATGCGATCATTGTTCGTTGGTTGGAAGAAAGTAACTATAAATGCTGAGTGCCGTTCTAACTCTGGTTCATATAAATTTCGATTCATCACCAGGTTGATTTAAACCATCCTCTGTGAAATCTGGTACATTTTATCCTGCTGTAAGTGCAATGCTATCACTCGTCAATATCCTCTTGTTGTGTTGAAATGCCATTGCGAACTATTCACAGCTCGGTTTGCCTAGTAGTTAGTCCGAAAGAGGGCTGAGGTGATTCCCATGTACTTTTGCGGACCCCCAATCGATTTACCATGACAAGGTTCCCTAATCTTTTTGACCTTTAAAGGCGAGCTTTGCGACCAGGACGTCGACGAGTGTGCCAGTGACCCATGCCGCAACGGTGGGAAGTGCCTCAACACGCGAGGCTCCTTTGTGTGCAAATGCCCACCCGGATTTGATGGGGCACTTTGTGAAAGGCCAGTCGATCCCTGCGACTCCACCTACGGACCGATCTGCAGCAACGGGGGAGTCTGCATCGCCGTGAACGGACGTCCCACCTGCCGATGTCCTCCCGGCTTCAGTGGCTCTCGTTGCGAGGTGAGCCAGACCCACTTTTGTACTTAACAGCATGCCGGTAGCCAGAGGTTAACGTAAGGGGAATCATTGTATTTGCGAATTGTTTCCATAACCACACAGACTCACAAAACCAATCGACGGCCTTTCCGACGCGTCGAGGCGTCGTTCCGTTAGGTCGCCTCAAGGTTTAGTCGAAATCAAAAGTACTAAAACACAATTTTGCAAAAGCACAAAGCACAATCTACCCCTTAAGATATTTTCATTAAGTAGCCCCTTCCACTTACTGATGTATTAGGGTCTTGAAAGCAATTTAAATGAACTTTGAAGTAAAATAATTACAGATTGTCAATCGAATTTCACACACAAAGAAGGCCTCCTTGATCAAGGTAAAAGGTTCTAAATGTGAATTTTCTTATACATGTAACCATTCTGACATGATACCTCATATTCGTACAGCCAATCATTTCACTGGGCGATGCTTATTAGTCACTCGGTCATTAGTTCGTACTTGTAGTCACAACTATGCAAATTCCACTTTTACTGAGGATGCTGTTCCTCAGACAGTTCGTTCAACGATGCGTTGCAAGGGTTGTTGTGTTGTGGCTCCTAAATTGAGTGATAATTTAAGAGTGGACCCTTTTGGCTGTGGTGGAGCCAATCGGTTATGGGTGAATGAGAACGCGCGAAACATCTACAGTGGGTCGCAGTGGATCCCCGCGTAGTAGTAAAAGTACGTCAAAGGGCCGATTACGAGGCAAATTATGCATTTTTCATCACCTCTTTTTTACAACCCGTGGCCCCTGGCATTAATCGTCACATACCTTTACCAACCTCCGAAAGCGCACATAAATACCCACACACACGCAGCCTTACGCACACGACGCAGACTACCGGTGAGGGGTTGGGTAATCCTCGTCGGACCAACTTGGTTGCCACTCGTACGTAGGCCTCTTTGGGGTGGAGGGGCCGGAGGGTGCGGGGGAGCGGGGTGGGGCGCAGGAAGAGTTATAGTGTGTCGAGGACTTCTATTTATGTGCGTTCACTTTCTGGGAGGTCTTGTGTCGAATGGGGGCGATCTGATCCTGTCCCTAGATGAAATAATTCACACAGCCCCACGGCGTGAATGCAATGGCGCAAATTTCGGTGAAGCACGCCCTAAACCACCCTGAAGTAGGCGAATACTAGCCTTCTGCCAGTGAGCCACTTCTGCTCGCTCTAAACCGCCTCCTTTGACACTGCGTCCTGTGGCAATAGCGTAGGCGCTAGTAGTCCAATTTGGCTCTTCGACGTGTTCGTTCTGTGTCAGTATTCGCCTATAAAAACCTACTTCTGTGTCGTCCAAGAGGTTTAACCAAGCGGCCGATGTAGCTCCTTCTTTTCGTCGATATATTAAATTTTGCCCATGCCCCGCAGATTGTTAGTAAGGAGTTCCCTTTTGACCGACTGTGCTCCGCTTCGTAGCTGGAGGACACGTTAGCAACGTGGCGTATTGTGTAGGGGATTAAGCCAAGCCCACCCAGGAAGCGCATTTTACTGTGGAGCTCAAGTACTTTAATAGGCCAAATTTTGACACAAACTTACAAATCTAGACGTGCCACATTATTCACTCATCCCAGGTCACTTTTAGCGCAAAAACGGTAAGTGGTTAATTTGGGTAAAAACCGATGGACGGCTTGGGTGCATGTTGTAATAAGGCGCAAATTGTCTTATTGAGCATAAAAACGCAGACACTGTCGGACATTTCTGCAATCCTTCCCGAAATGAAGTGGTGTGTGTAGGCCTGTCGCAGCCTGCGCCACCACCGTCATCATCAGATCGCCCAGTTTTAATGTTGTGCAGTTCAAAAGATTCGCTCACCACCGCACATGCAGGTGGACATTACTCTGGGAACTGGGCGGCACAATCAAACGGGCCTATTTCCCTTTCCCAGGGTTGCTGCTTGATCAATTACAATAAATACACTTGCTGTTACAATCGACGATGCTCAACAATATAACCCCGGCTTTGCCTGATTCAAGAGTTCACAAATTCCTTGTGGGTACTTTCTGTGGGGGCCAAAATGGTAGATAGTGGGGCCGTTTAACCAATGCTAGACTTCACTGCCACGGACAACTATCATGTGCAGCTACCGTCGGATTTATGTTGCTTACGTGTCACACGTAGCATTACGTAAGTGGCGGAGATTATTATCCATTTATCATTTTTGCTTACATTCTACCAGGTAACGTCTAAGATGCTTGGCGGTAGCATTTGCGTTCCACAGATACCAATAAATAAATGCAAACGTCCTTAGCCTTTAAAGGCATAGTCAGTTAATACAAAAAATCAATTCGCACCACTGTAAACTAAAGTTACGGCAGATTGTGTTTGTTTTTCAAAAGCGGAATGCGTTTTGCGAAATAGCATCAGTTATTTCTCAATTCGGATGATCTTGATGAAATAACGCAACTAGACCAGTGCATCGGGTTTGCACAAAAGCTATGCGCATTCCCGGCAAGGCAGTAAACTAACAACCAATCGTCTCCTTTTAGATCGAAGACGACGAATGTTCAAGGAAACCCTGTCTGAACGGCGGTTTGTGCATGCCTTTCCTGGGCTCATACGCCTGTCGCTGTCCCACCGAATTTTCTGGACGACACTGCGAAAGATCTCTGGCTTTTTCACCCTGCAGAAATCAGGTTTGTTTTCCACTTTATTCAAAGGTGATTGTTGTAGAAGGATCTTGGCAAGCTAACTGTGATTGATTTGTCCCACAAATTTAAGATAGTGGTAAAATTAACACTAACCTTTTAACAGGTTAAACTTGAGTCTGGGATAGTGGTATTTTATCAAGCATTTCAACGGGTCGTTGTTCTCACGGACGTCAAACTTTTAGTGGAGGAGGTAAAGGCGTTCTTCTCTTTGTTCGGGGTTGAATCGAATGTGGCACTGCGTGTGACAATATCTGGGGCCGGTGGCATCTGCCGACTAACCTGCTTGTGTGACATAAGTCTGTGTATAGATCTGTGAGAAATTCCCGGTGAAAAGTACGTGGTGGCTTTTGTTAGAATGACGTATACACTCGCCGTAGTTGAATTAGAGAAAGGGTTTTATTTATCACTGCGCTCCTTTGTTATTTTCTGCTGTGTGTGTGTGTGTATGTGCTTGCGTGCGTGCGAAGATTGACTACCAACTTAGTCATGGTGGCTTCCTCCACATGTAAGTAAGATTCACTCTGCACGAACACTGGCGGTCACGCCATCAGAGCCTGTTCGAACTCGATGCAAGTTCCACACGGAAGCGTCGACGCGAGTGGTGCGCGGTGTGCGAGGGCTGCCTACCGTAGAAGTGGTTTGAACACGTAGCACCAAGTGACTCCGACCTGCCCCGTGCTCGACCGTCTGAGTTGGCTGGAAAAGCGACCTCGTCTGCCGCGACCTGCCTCGCTCTGGGGCTCAGGTCAAAGGAGCGGTTCCTGCAAGTGTCGTTGGGCCGCCCTACCTCATTGGGGCCGATCAACTTAAAAGAATCGATTTATTAACAATTAGTCATGAAGCGGAGGAGCCATTTATTGATTTTTTTGCAAGTAACGCGTTGTGAATGTATTAAGACTCCTTGAATCTAGGTAGCAGCACTAACTTGTGTATAGTAGTGCAGATTGGTGATATACTTAAAACTTTTTTACTTGTAAAAACATCTTAGATCAATACCTGTCACCAAATGAGTATCGTAGCGATTCTCAAGAAGCCCTTTTCTTTGTAAGATAGGGTTTTTCTTCAACTTACCGAGTTTTTAATTGCAAGTTGACTTTTTCATGAATTGTATTTCAACT